AACTCTCTGCTAGACCTGCTTCAGTCTGCTTTCCGCACTAAGCACTCTGTGGAAACGGCACTGACCAAAGTATCCAATGATCTACTCGCTGCAAAATCTCGTGGTCACTAATCTATCCTAATTCTCCTTCACCTGTCTGTGGCTTTTGACACTGTTGATCATCAACAGCTTCTTCTTATCCACCGTAATATCGATCTACAAAATATTGCTCTCTCCTGGTGCTCTTCCTACCTCTCCCGGCATTCTTTCAGTGTTTCTTTCTCTGGCTCTGCTTCTTCTACCTAAATCCTCTCTGTTGGTGTCTCCCAAGGTTCAGTCTTTGGTCCCCTACTGTTCTCCATCTATACTGTCTCCCTTGGCTTCCAATATAATTTCTATGCGGTTGACACGCAAATCTACCTGTCCTCTCCTGATCTCTCCCTGTCCCTCTAGACTAGTGTCTCTGGCTGCCTCTCTGCTATTTCTAACTGGATTGCTGCCCACTTCCTTAAACTCAACTTGACCAAAACTGAAATTCTGGTCTTTCCTCAAGTGTTGGTACTCCTGTGTCTCCCTCCCTCCAAGTCAACGGTGCTACCATCAGCTCCGCCACGCAGGCTCACTGCCTAGGTGTTCTATTTGACTCTCCTCTCCTTCATGCCTCATGTTCAGTCTATCGCCAAATCCTGTTGTTTCCATCTCAAAAACATTGCGCGCAACCGACCCTACTTAACGCCAGATGCAACTAAGGTGCTGGTCCATTCCACTGCCCTTTCTCGCCTTGAATACTGTAATCCACTTCTGAGTGGTCTTACGTGCTCCCAACTTGCGCCGTTACAGTTCATTATGAATGCAGCAGTGAGGCTCATCTTCCTGACCGCCTGCACCTCCCACGCCTCACCCTTCTGTCAGTCCCTAAATTGTCTTCCTATAAGATATATGGCTCAATATAAAATTCTGGTTCTTGCTTTAAAATCTCTACATAATGCTGCTCCCACCTATCTATCCTCCCTAATACAAGTATGTTCCATCTAGGCCCTTACCCTCTGCTGACACTTCTGTCCACACTCCCACCTCTGACGCTCACCTTCAAGACTTCTCAAGGGCTGCACTGTTCCTGTGGAACTCACTTCCCTCCTCTGTTAGATGCTCACCCAGTCTCCTGTCCATCCATGCCTTGTTCTGGTTTCACTCATGTCTTGTGTACATGTTCTGAACTCTGCTTTCTGTCATGCTCCGGTTCTGGGTTTGTCTAGTCTAGTCTTGTCTTATCATGTTTGGTGCCTGTTCTACTCTTGCCTTGTCTCTAGTACTGGATACATATCTGCTACAGAGCTTCCCTATCCAGATCCTAGGAGGTCCGCATATTTTCACCTGGTTCCTGGGATCCGGAGAAGCTGCATCAGGGCCCTGGTATGTGGCTGCACAAACCTTGGTGCCCAACACCTGGGGGCATGTGGTTACCCTGCACCAGGCCCTGATTGTTTATTTCCATGAGGTTGACTCCTATCATCATCAGGCACACAGGGGTCCCGGTCTCCGTACCGCCACCTGAGACAGGTTTACACTTTTGCCCCTGACATCTTTGGACAGCTCTTTGGTCTTGGTCATGGTGGAGAGTTTGGAATCTGATTGATTGCTTCTGTGGACTGGTGTTTTTATACAGATAATGAGCTGAGATTTGGAGCACTACCTTTAAGAGAGTGCTCCTAATCTCAGCTCGTTACCTGTATAAAAGTATAAAAGACACCTGGGAGCCAGAAATATTGCTGATTGATGGGGAATCAAATACTTATTTCACTCATTGACATTTGTTGTTGTTATTCTGTCTCTCAATGTTAAAATACACCTACCATTAAAATTATAAACTGCTCATTTCTTTGTCAGTGGACAAATGTTCAAAATCAGCAGGGATTAAACACTTTTTTCCTTCACTGTATGTTACATTGCTTTGTTATGATTTAAGTTAAGATTTGCATGCATTTGTCACTCAAAAATGTTCACTTATATTTAATAACTATTTTTCAGAAATATCAATAAGACCATTCCTAAGGTATAAACATCACAATAAACATATTTTCACCGACACAATGAACAAGTTTTCACTTGTGAGAATTTAATTATAAACTTGATGGAACTCTTGTTATTGCTTTCTTGCATTGTGTAAAGGCCCTCTCAACTTACCTTGTACTCTTTCATCATGTCGCTCCCTTCTCTCCAAGAGGCATACTCCATACCTGTGTCCTCTCCAAAAATCATCCAGATCAGAGCAGGGGTTCAGGAAATTCCTGGATGTCTCTTTTTGACCTACTGCACGCATGGTTTCATGCCCAAAACAGTTCCAGAGAATCAGTGCTTTTGGACGATCTAGTTCGGTAGTTTGCAAACGAACAAACTACTGAATGGATTCAATAGTCTTACCCTGGAGCTTGTTCCCTTCATCTAGACGAATGATCTCACCGAACAGTGCCCTTCTAAGCTGATTAGAAACGAACGCTGGTGATGATGGAAGTTCAGCGGTGTTTGGGAGTTTCTGTATCCGATTCATGCTCAAACACTGCTGCCTGCGTTCATGGGAACAAGATGGCCGCCACCCCGTGGTTGTTCTTAGGAATCGCAGCCACCCAGACAAACAATTAGAACACTGCGGTGAGAAACGTTCCAAGTTGTTAATAGGTGTTAACAAGCTTCAGGGTGGTCTCTGTTCATGCGGTTGTTCGGTAAACTAACCATATAGTCCCAATTGCATGAACAGAGCCTGTTTAAAGTATATTAACCGGTTCTATTGCAGGGGCCATAGTCACAGGGTAGGAGGCTGGCAAACAGGCCCCTCCAGAAACCAGTGGCGATGTCATTTTTGCCACACACTTATTAATTAGCAAGATGGAACCAACATCCATGTCATGTGGCTGGCATGACTGGGTACAAAATAAAATTGCAAAGGGAAATTGAAAATATAGTGCCTACAGATAGGCAGAATAAGGGATGTACTTTACAACCCAATCACAAATGCCCTACATCTAGTGAAACAACCCCAAGTGAGCAGTGATATACTCTATCTAAACAAGGGTTGCAAAATCTAGACTGTACCCTGCAAAGCTGCCGTATGCACCTAAACTGTCAGATGCATGGATCTGATACTTAGTAGAAGACACTGACAGCATCAAAGTTACAAACTGACATCTATGTAGTCTATGCAGTGAGTTTCACTATATGTAGGGCATTTGTGATTGATTCACCTCATAGCAGTAGATTATATCATCTCTGCAGGGATCAGTCTATCACCTCTTTGTTTAGACATAATATACAATGCTTATATGGGGGTGTACTGACTATATGTAGGGCTAGCAGGACCCACAAGCTACCTTTTCCATACATATTTTGTTCTGCTATCTCTGTATTCCTATATTAATCTTAGTCTGTTTAGGCAACATATTTAGTTTGCTATTTTTCAGTGGATATAACTGTGAAATACTATAGGATGAGCTTACTTTAAGCCTATATATAAGTGTTTCTGACGAACATTTTGGGTCATTATTTAGCAGTGTTATTCTCCATTTTGTTATTCTTCCCCCCATTTTCTTGTTTTTTAACATTTAGCAGACATACCGCGCATTTTTGACCAAGCAATAATAAAGGAATTTCTCATAATTACCTTATGGCCTTGCTTGGAAACATTGAATTAAGAATCCTATGAGCCTCCTACTGGGGAACTATTCAGACTCTTTTGCAGTGCTTTATCTGTTTTTATGTTTCTTATTTTCTAATTACACTACTTACTATTATGTTATTTCAAATACTTTTCTGAGACGAGACAAATGGTCATTTCTTTATTGTTTTTTAGCGTGAGACTATGTTTTATCCTGTTTTATACATTCTATTCAAACAATAATTTATTTAAAACAAATTGATTAATCTACACACTTAACAGATGGCCTCCTTTTAAAAGATAAATAAAAACAGCATTAATCCCAAATCACTTAAATCTCAAGTAACTTATATTATCCTAGTTTTCTTTATAAAGTGTTTCAAGCTTACTTATCTGTTTCTAAACATTCTAAATATCAGAACAACAAAGCAAATATCCCTCTCCTGAAAATGAATTTATATGTTGATTCATTTTCATATGTAAAGTAATGTTTATCTCTGCCACTCTGCTTGTTTTGTAAATACATTTCTTTGTGTGCACTGCGGTAGTGTATTGATATATCTGAAGTTTAATGGACATTTCTTTTACAACTGGGACTACTAAAAGCATCATCTCATTGGAAAATAAGATTTAGAAAGAAATAGTATTTTCACTAAAGTTCCTTTACATAGACATTTGCTATAAAATATACTCAACTTATATTAGACAGTGAACACAATATAGTTTTGTTCATTTTATACATTAAAAAACAACAACATAATAAGATAATGTTCTTTGTTTTGTTTTTGGCAGTGCCCATATTGCTTTGACTGCACATAACTTTTAGCAGTGTAGGAGACAAACTTTCAAGCTACATTTAGAAGGCAGGCAGCAAGGCTTTAGTGACAAATTCTTTATCTCTACAGTTACATTACAAAGACACTGACTTTTCAATCAGGAGATCTATCAGCTTGCTCTATGTGCTCTCTTGATAAACTATATTGCACAGTAATTTTTTCAGCATGCTTGTGTTGAGCAAGGATAATGATTAGGATTGCTAGCAACGATCATATGAAACAAAGAAACGTGTACATATATCTTTTGAATTGTTTAGCTAACTGTGTCTTCTTACTTACATTTGGGTAGTGTGATCTGCACTTTTTACTCCCTACTATTCATTTGATATAGGCCTATAATTGATGTGTGTATATACATTTTGTGCCTGATTCAGTCTAGATTTTACTAGCAAAGTCACGCCTTGGTGAATTAATTTTCCCTTGGTTTTAGCATTGTCAGAGTTATTTACTAAAGTGAAAAATTGTAGAATGAAAAAATTGTAGAATGAAAAATTGTAGAATGAAAAAATTGTAGAATGAAAAAATGTAGAATGAAACTCCTTTACTGTGTTAACCTCTACCACTTCAGCTGGAAGGCTATTCCATGATGCATGGAATAGCCTTCCAGCTGAAGTGGTAGAGGTTAACACAGTAAAGGAGTTTAAGCATGCGTGGGATAGGCATAAGGCTATCCTAACTATAAGATAAGGCTAGGGACTAATGAAAGTATTTAGAAAATTGGGCAGACTAGATGGGCCGAATGGTTCTTATCTGCCGTCACATTCTATGTTTCTATGTTTCTATGAATTATTTTTTTTTAACCAAAATAGATGATTTAGAAGCCTACATAACTGTCTTGAAGAAAATTAATTTCAGTAATTTTGGCCTTAAATATGAGATTTACTTTGAATTCCTGACAATACTCACTTTAGTAAATAACAATACCATGTTCTCCCCTTGCCTTTTAGATACTTTCTTTATACCAGCTTTCCACCTTTTTTTTCCATCTTTAATAGTTGTGAGATTATTTTCGTTTAATTACATGAACTTGTGCCGTATCTGCCCTTTTGTTTAAATACATTTTTACTCTAGGTTGATTTACTTGTCTTGTTTCACAGAATTCATTCAACGTGAAAATGAAACAATTCTTGAAAGCTTGTTGAACAAAGCTACTACCAGTCCAGTAAACAATAACATTAAAAGATATTCTAACACTGTTATTTTGTGTCTATTTCTCCTTACAGATATGAATGCTTTGGCAATTATTCTAAAATTGCAATGCATTCATTGTTCAAATAGCAGGAGATTCACTATCTACACTGACACACATCAGAACCCCTCAATCACACCCATGTTGCCAATGTCTAATGAAGTGACATTGTTTAGCTAGCTGTTAAGAACTTAGAATGAGAAATTCCAGATAAACTAATCCTGAAACAAAGTAATCTTGAGATGAAAGAAGGAATTCATTGTAGAGATAAATGACGAGGACACAGAAATAGTCTGTGCATGTTACATTATAGGACATAAATTATAGCCTCACTTTGGGGCACAAATATTCTTTATTGATGTACAATATAGTTCTGCTGTCAATGCAGCATTGCAGGTCTAGGATAAAAGGTGTTGATGACAATGTAAACGTAAATATGAAATATGAATGTATACTGCCAGCACCAAAGAAGGATGTTGATTCCAAATTGTAGCTCAGATTAACAAGGTCACTACAATTACATTAATCCAAGAATTTGACCTTCAGGTGCCTATGGTCACATCCTTAGAAATGTACATTCATAATTAGGGATAAAAGGAAAACCCCATTATGGAAGGATACTTATGATGCAATGTGTGCCATGTTCAAGATCTTGCTCAGTGATAAAGGTTCCCCAAGCTGCATGAACAAGTTTAACTGATATACAGGACCACATGCAAGCATGATTGTAAAGGGAGTCAAGAATACACACAGTGGTCATACTAGGAGCAAAATAAAGTATTTCATTCCAAGAATAAATATTTTGGCAGCTCCAATACGTAAACCAAACTCCACGATATACCATGCCTTATGTCCATCCCTGAACTCTAGGGTGCTCTGCGAGTCACACCATAACTCTAATAATTTATTTAATTTAGAATATTATGCCATTAAAACTTTATAGAAAGTTCTTTAATTAAGCATGTAAAGTATATTTCCACTTCCATCATCATTATAAACACTTTAGGCTTTTGTTCCTAAAGCATGGTAGGACAAAATAGTTCATGACTTTTTTTGACCACATTCTGCCAAAGAAGCCATTTCAAAAGCAAAAATGTCCCAGGCAATCCAATATTTCTTTAACTGTAATATATTTTCATTTAATTTTATTTTCATGTTGAAAAGAAAATTGCATACATGTTATAAATCATATGATCGCTGGTTGAGATCATGAAATAAAGTAAAACATTTAAATATTATTATTATTATTAGTAGTAGTAGTATGTTTGTTTATATAGTATCAACCGATTACACTATATGTCAAGTAATAACTAAAGAGAAAAATAAATTTAGTTTGAGGAACCACGTAAAAAGCAATACATAATATACAATTCAGTTACAGTTTAGAAAATAACATTTTTTTTTATTAAGTTAAACACTTAGCACCCATAAATACATTTTGAAAAGATGTAATCAAAATAATATATCAAATAACAGAAATAAAACTAGACTTCAAGTCTTAAGTGGTCCTGTTAAACCTGAATTGGCCTAAAATGCCAAAAAAAAGTACTAATGGTAACATTACATATCATCACGGCAGCTAAACTACTCTTCACACGAAATTGGAAAACAGGGAAAATACCATAAACTCAAGAATTGATAGTACAAGTTATATGGCAGGCAAAAATGGAGAGGGGAATATTGGTGAACTTAAGAAATAGATACATTCAAAAAGAAGACTGGGACACATGGATAAAATAAACTGAAGCTATAATTTAAAAACTAACTCTCTTGCTAGCCCTCTTCTTTTTTCTCTCTGGTTAAATGATAACAAACTGTAATGGATCAGCTGGCACCCCGACTGGGCACCTCCATTGACAAATGCTTCCTAGCTGACGCCGAGTACCATAAGCACCACACCGGACACCAAAACCACTGCAGACTCCACAACTGCCGTAGCTTAACTGGAGTCTCACCGTCTTCCTTCCACCCTGGATTAGCCTCTGTCCTCCAGGACTGTGTGGGAAAGACCTCTCCTCCAGGAGAGCGTATCAGGAACAGCTCTTAAAATAGCTAAGTGATTAGAGCTCAGGGGAGTATACAAAGTATAGCAATCCCCAGTGTGAATATAGCAGTTCCCTACAATAATGAGACGATGCTACATATTGGGGGTTAAGCATGAACAGAATGAACTGAGGGTTTATTGTCTCTTTTATATAAGTTTTCCCACAAGGTTATCACCCATGTGCACCTTGTGGAACACAGGACACAAAGTTACAAAGCTAATCAAAACACTCTTGTACAGTTAGGCACTCCCACATAATGTACACAAATCCTCCCCTCTGCCTGTGATACAATTACCAAACACAATGGACTAACTCAATTACCCACAGGCAGAAAACAAACATTTTTCACTAAACACAGAAAGCACCCCCAAAGCCCACAAATTATACATCCCTGGATAACCCTGATCTGGGTAAAATACATATCCAAAAATCACCCAGATCAAAGAAGGGGTTCAGGAAATTCCCGGAAGTCATATTTGACCGACCGCAAGCATGGCTTTCATCCCCAAAACAGTTCCACAGATTTAGGCTGTGTGGCCAGTCTATCTCCTCCTCTATCCTGGAGATAATTGGCTTAAGTGGCTGTAACTTAATTATCTCCAGTAACAGGAACTATCTCTAAGTCAAAAACTGTTACAAAAACAACATAATAATACATAGCTCTTATAATGCAATGTTTACTATGTCCAACATATCCCCAGATAGCTTGGACCTGAGCGCTCAATATGTCCAATGTTAAAAGTGTACTATAGTATAAATAAGGGTGGGGTCAGAAAATAGCAAGGGCTGATGGGAGATTAAGGAGGGACAAAGCAGCCAGTTTCAACTGGTCTGGCAGTGCCCCTGGGACAACGCCCTGTTGGAGAACAATAGGACAGGAAAAAGGGGGAGGGGAAGAGGCAAATTTTTCCCATGGAAGGCCCTTTTTAGCATGTCTTTATGCAGGGCCCATAGTCTTGGGGCAGGAGGCTGGCAATCAGACCCCTCCAGAAGCCAGTGGCAAAGGGTAGTTCGTCACACAAACCAAGACAAGAATTAATACCAGTACTCTCCCCTTCCCTGCACTTTCTACTCAAGATGCCTGTATAAATCATTGTTTTTTACAGAGAGGGGAGGTGAAGGGGAGGAAAAGGGAAAGGGAAAAAGAACCAGATCCTAAGAATTGGGCACACAAACAGAACTGTAAAATTAACTATATTACATTAGGCATAAGGTGTGCTCTCACTCTCCAAGGATAGGCAGGAAATAAAGATTTACAAACAAGAATTTACAATAGGATCTAAGAATTAGGGTGTGGGGGGTGGGGGGGATTTAGGTGGGAAGGTTAGAGAGTTAATAGTATATAAAAAACTAAGTAAATTCCTTCTGTTTCCTTTCGCCTCTTACCACTTATAAATTTAAGAAATAAAGAACATAGCATATTAAGAAAAAATAGGAGACCTAAGGGCTAAGAGGAGAAGGAGATAGGGAGCAGATATTTATGTTGACAAGAGTACCAAGGCCTGGAATAGAGAAGCACCAGTTAAAATATACAAGGCAGGTACACGTCTAAAATATTTAAAATAAATAAATAAAAAGTTAAACACTTACAATTGTTTTGAAACACTTAGCTGAAAAACACAGTACTTATAAAAATGGACATCAATTTTTTTTTAAATTTGTATATAACTAGCATAGCTTTTAGAAGATGTCAGAATAAGCTTGTCTTATGTTCTTTTAGGTCAAAAGCACATTTAACGAATCATACTTATTTGAAGACAAGTGGAAAAATATGCTTTAGCCACTCTTCTAAAATTATTGGTATGAAAGAGTTGCAGGAATTCTTGACCTACATTGGAACATCAGATGAAGTGGGGACTTGTTTTATATGCAGAGAAGGTAACAATGTGCGTGAAGCCTAAAAAACATAATTAAAGGATGTCCATATTTATGACATTGGATTTTACTATTTTAACCCTATCATCAACTACTAAAATTTGCCTACTTCCTAAAGGAGGACATTATATACAAAATGTTTCACTAACATTTGGCTTGTAAGGAATATTACCTGAATTTCAAGTTGTACACAAAAATACCTGCACTGGAAGCATAGCTGACTTAAATGATATTTCCAGATCAGCTATTTTGGCCTATAATTGAATTTTGAATTCACTTTGAATCCCCAACTATTCTCACTTTAGTAAATAACTCTATATAGTTGTGTACTATTTGACATAGAAATTATTGTGTTCATCTATTTAAAAATGGAGGAGTATAATTTGTCAGTGACCAGGGATTTACGCAGGGATTGTTTTCTACAGACTGTACATCTCCTTTCCAATTAGGTTCAGGTTACAGAATAATTAATTAAAACAGCTGCTTGAAGGTGATGCCTTCATTTTCATCTAGTTTGGCTTCAGTAATAT